GAACAAGTATTTGATACACTGCCGATTTTGCAGGTTGTCCTACTTACAAAGAATGTAGAGGTCTGTAATTTTTATCATAGGTACACTTCAACTGTGAGAGACGGAATCTAAAACAAAAATCCAGAAAATCACATTGTATGATTTAAGTAATTAATTTGCATTTTATTGCATGACATAAGTATTTGATACATCAGAAAAGCAGAACTTAATATTTGGTACAGAAACCTTTGTTTGCAATTACAGAGATCATACGTTTCCTGTAGGTCTTGACCAGGTTTGCACACACTGCAGCAGGGATTTTGGCCCACTCCTCCATACAGACCTTCTCCAGATCCTTCAGGTTTCGGGGCTGTCGCTGGGCAATACGGACTTTCAGCTCCCTCCAAAGATTTTCTATTGGATTCAGGTCTGGAGACTGGCTAGGCCACTCCAGGACCTTGAGATGCTTCTTACGGAGCAACTCCTTAGTTGCCCTGGCTGTGTGTTTTGGGTCGTTGTCATGCTGGAAGACCCAGCCACGACCCATCTTCAATGCTCTTACTGAGGGAAGGAGGTTGTTGGCCAAGATCTCGCAATACATGGCGCCATCCATCCTCCCCTCAATACGGTGCAGTCGTTCTGTCCCCTTTGCAGAAAAGCATCCCCAAAGAATGATGTTTCCACCTCCATGCTTCACGGTTGGGATGGTGTTCTTGGGGTTGTACTCATCCTTCTTCTTCCTCCAAACATGGCGAGTGGAGTTTAGACCAAAAAGCTCTATTTTTGTCTCATCAGACCACATGACCTTCTCCCATTCCTCCTCTGGATCATCCAGATGGTCATTGGCAAACTTCAGACGGGCGTGGACATGCGCTGGCGAATCTTGCGTGCGCTGCAGGATTTTAATCCATGACGGCGTAGTGTGTTACTAATGGTTTTCTTTGAGACTGTGGTCCCAGCTCTCTTCAGGTCATTGACCAGGTCCTGCCGTGTAGTTCTGGGCTGATCCCTCACCTTCCTCATGATCATTGATGCCCCACGAGGTGAGATCTTGCATGGAGCCCCAGACCGAGGGTGATTGACCGTCATCTTGAACTTCTTCCATTTTCTAATAATTGCGCCAACAGTTGTTGCCTTCTCACCAAGCTGCTTGCCTATTGTCCTGTAGCCCATCCCAGCCTTGTGCAGGTCTACAATTTTATCCCTGATGTCCTTACACAGCTCTCTGGTCTTGGCCATTGTGGAGAGGTTGGAGTCTGTTTGACTGAGTGTGTGGACAGGTATCTTTTATACAGGTAACGAGTTCAAACAGGTGCAGTTAATACAGGTAATGAGTGGAGAACAGGAGGGCTTCTTAAAGAAAAACTAACAGGTCTGTGAGAGCCGGAATTCTTACTGGTTGGTAGGTGATCAAATACTTATGTCATGCAATAAAATGCAAATTAATTACTTAAAAATCATACAATGTGATTTTCTGGATTTTTGTTTTAGATTCCGTCTCTCACAGTTGAAGTGTACCTATGATAAAAATTACAGACCTCTACATGCTTTGTAAGTAGGAAAACCTGCAAAATCGGCAGTGTATCAAATACTTTTTCTCCCCACTGTATAGTCTCATATGCCCCAACTATAACTTTAGGTCTGGGAGCATAATACGAGTTTTTGCACAAATCTTCCATTGACATCAATGCATGATTTCCGTGACTGTCGAGTTAAGTGTGTGGATCTCACCCACAGTGAGATTAGTAAATAAATAAATCAATAAAATAAATAAAAACACTTCTTAAAAAATACAAGGAATAAAAGTCACATTAAGGCCTAAATTCATATTAGTTATCCAAACGAAAAAACTAGAGTGGCATAAGAAAATGAGTAAAGTGATACTACTTGGGTAAAACAGAATATACTAACAAGTGATAAAAACACTAATAAGTGTTAATATTCTGCCCGCCAATATTGCTAACCAAGAAAAGATGTTACATGAGTTGACCAGAAAACTGTTCCATTAGACCATTCTTTGACCATTAACATTTTTCATGCATTAGAACATTATTTCAATGCTGTAAACAGCATTTCGGCGTAGGATGGGTTTGATCAGCAGCTAGTAGGTAGACATTGAACCTGCGAAGAAACATATCCAGCACTATCACAAATCTCTGTACGTCTCACACCATCACACCTAAAAATCCTCTCCTTGTGTTTCTTTAGTGTACTAGCTAATACACCTGAAATTGTCCGTTAACCCCATTGGGTTCCATGCACATCTGGATCCTAAAAAAACACTTGGAATTGATTACTGAACAGACTGTGGTGCATAAAGTTGAACATATATAAATGAATGGCGCAAGTAAGTCTCATAATAATAATAATCTATGCTGGTTATAATAATTAAGTTAAAGGCTCAGTGCTGTCAAATTCGTTTTTCCTGTTCCTGTATCATTTTTGTACAACCAAAGTTGAAACTAACACTGTAAAAGTGTGAAAAAATGTGATCAGTGTGATTTCCTGATAGTTGCTGGTTGAAAATACAATCTATTAAGCAGGTTTTGCATGGGTTTTGGCTTGCCTTGTGAAATAAGTTAAAAGACCAATAATAAAGAGACCTCCAAACCTCTCTACAAATAACCCGCTAGTTTTCAGGTTACATATCCCTCCCATTAGGGTTCTCTGCCTCCTTTCAAAATCCTAACTGTGGTTAATGCACTGCTCTGGCCCTCTTTCCTGCTCCACTCAGAGCACTCCCAGACAGTCCTAGCAAAATGCTTGCCTGAGAATATTTTTTTTTTTTTGCTAAAAAGCTTTTTTGTTTCTTTTTGACCATTTTAATACAAAACTACACTACATAAGTATGTGGACACCCCTTCAAATTAGTGGATTCGGCTGTTTCAGCCACACCCGCCGTTGCTGACAGGTGTATAAAATTGAGCACACAGCCATGCAATCTCCGTAGACAAACATTGGCAGTAGAATGGCCCGTACTGAAGAGCTCAGTGACTTTCAATGTGCCACCGTCATAGGATGCCACATGTCCAACAAGTCAGCCCTGCTAGAGTTGCCCCTGTCAACTGTAAGTGCTGTTATTGTGAAGTGGAAACGTCTAGGAGCAACAACAGCTCAGCAACGAATGGTAGGCCACACAAGCTCACAGAACGGGACCGCCGAGTGCTTAAGCGCGTAAAAATCATCTGTCCTCGGTTGCAACAGTTCCAAACTGCCTATGGAAGCAACGTCAGCACAAGAACTCTTCATCGTGAAATGGGTTTCCATGGCCAAGCAGCCGCACACAAGCCTAAGATCACCATGGGCAATGCCAAGCGTCGGCTGGAGTGATGAATCACGCTTCACCATCTGGCAGTCCGACTGACGAATCTGGGTTTGGCGGATGCCAGGAGAACGTGACCTACCCAAATGCATAGTGCCAACTGTAAATATTAACGCTACAGCACACAATGACATTCTAGACGGTTTTGTGCTTCCAACTTTGTGGCAAAAAGGAATTTAAGAATTTATGAGCCCTCCACTTATTGTATATAGGAGACGTTGCAATTTACGCGACAAATTGTGCCACGCCAACTGCCAGCCACAAAAGAAAATGAACCAGGCTATTTTACGCCCTCTTCCGAATGGTAGCTATAAATGCAGGAAGCTGCGCACAGTGCAACAAGATGATGAAGTGTGAATATTTCTGCCACCCACATACAGGAAAACAGTTCCAAATAAATAACATTATTACGTGCTCCACCACCCATGTTATCTACATGATTAAATGTCCATGTGGGCTGTGTTATGTAGATAAAACCTCTTGTTCTCTCAAACAGCGAATTAGTGAACATAAAAGTTAAATCAGAAACGACAGGGATTATCCAGTCGCAGTACATTTTAAAATGACCAAAAACATGACAGTTCTACCTTTTAGATTTTGTGGCATAGAGAAAGTCAAGATATCAGACAGGGGAGGTGATAAATAACACTGAGCAAAATATGTTTTTGGAGTTTCCCCCTCCAGACATTATTCCCAAAAGGTCTTAATGATGAAATGCATGTTATGTTGTAAATGTGAACATAAACTAATGCCACCACTTCAGATTACTCTGACATTTTTTTCTTGCACTGTACCCAATGATTTATGAAAACTTACTTGATAGGTTGATGTCCTCATTGTGGTTTTACAGACGTGTTTATGTTCTGTACACACGTTATTAGAAATGGACATCGTTATATTTGGTAACGCTTTTATTTTCCCTCGACTCAAACCCATTCGATGCATTGAACAGATGTGGGTGGAACAATGTCTACATAAGGGTAAATAAAAAAAGTAAAAAAAGCTCTGACGAAGGCCTTGAGGCCGATACGTAAAGCTTAATAAAGAGTAGTGATACTAGCAAGAGCAGTGTGCGGGTTTCATTTTTTTTTTTTCTCATGTTATTCAATTGTTACCATGCACCTGCAACAAAGCTAGCTCAGATGTGTGAGAGCCTTTTGAATCACAGTAACTCACTAAAAAGTTACCCAGAAATGATTTGATATTGAGATTGATATAAAAAAACTGCTGCACCAGGCATAGTTCAGTGAAATACATGAGCCGTTCCGGCTCACACAAGCCAAGGCTCGTGCAAGGCTACTTACTTACTTACTTACTTAACAGTGAAATACATATTCTGAAAGCAGTCTAATTTCATGCACAAATCATCTCACAATGCTTTTTAAACCAAGTATTTGAGGAACACAATCTATTTAAGAGATCATTTGGGCATTCAATTTAAAACATGCAAACGGGGAGATTGATTTACAACAGTTTTTGCTCTGAAAATGCTAATATTACCATTTGTTGGCAGTAGCTAGTTTAATAAAACCAAATTGTGGATTGCAGTCACTCATTGTCCATAGACTGCTTCCAAGGTACGTATTTCCAAACAAAGGGTATTTTGAACCTCTGAGTGCATTCTACAGCAAAGTAATGGGGAGGGAGACATTCTTCTCGCTCTGACAGAAGATAGTCTTTCGGCAGATTACAGACAGGCTCACTTTAGTCTCTTCAAAGCATTTGGATAATACTTGAGGAAGATTCTGCTGACTATGTCGTAGGTGTCCCCCTGCGGTTTGGAGGGGTACTTCCGGCTGTTGAAAACAAAGCCCTTCTCCACCTGGAAGACGGCCTGGTTGAAAGCGTCTTGCCTGAAGGGTCGGCCCTTGTCCAGGCACTCCACCAGGGTGTTGACGAACAGGCTCCAGCGCTGGGAGTAGTAGTCTTCCATCAGGCCGCCCCACTCCTTGCTTGCGTAGTCCAGAATGTTACCCTCGGGGCCCCACAGGGTGATCTGGTTCCGGGCGTTCATGTCGTACAGCCGCGCCTCCACCTCGTCCAGGGCCAGGGAGCGTGCCCGCTCCAGCCATGTCCCCAGCAGGAAGTGGCCGTCGCTGGACAGCAGGCGCTCCAGCTCTGGGAAGAGGTCGTACACCAGCACGCCGCCCGCCGTCAGGAGCTCCGGAAGCTTCTGGGCCTGGAAGGCGTCCCGGATCTCGCGGTAGTAATCGGTGGTGAGAAGCTGGAGGGCCTGCCGGGTGACGTCCACCAGGTCATAGCGGAACGTCTCCTGGGCCATGAGGGGCCGGGCCGCCTGGTACAACAGCCTCCAGGCCTCGTACAGGTCGGCCCGCTGGTACCACACCTCCGTGGTCATGCGCAGTGAGGGCCGGTGCACCAGCGGACTGTGGTTGTGGTTCTTATAGTGTGGCACGGTGCAGTTGTAGACGCTGCCAAAAAGCAGCTTCCAGGCGGCCGTCAGGTTCTCGTGGGTGCTGCCGTAGCGGCGAGCTGCGTACAGCGACACCCACTTGGCCAGGTTGACTGGCTCCTTGCGCCACGCCAACTCACTCATCAGCTCGTACACCACAGGGTTCTGCTCGATGCCCTCCGGCGCCAGCCCGAGTCCAACCAGGGTGGAGTTGGGGAAGGCAAGAGCCTCGAACGGCCCCGAGTTGAGGCTCTCCACTGTGCCAAAGAGCCCGCTGTTGCCGCCAAAGTTGTGGAGCATGCACCATATGAAGGGCTGGCCGTAGAAGGACTTGGTGAAGGAGAAAGCTGGCATGGATTCAGCAAACAAGTCCAGCACAATCATCCGGCCGATAGGCACTCCGTGCAGAAGGGCCTGAATCTGGGCAGGCTTCCAGAATGCTGCGTCATGCACAAAGAGCCAGCCCTGCATCAGCCAAATGGCCTGGGGATCCACTGGAGACAAAAAAAGATTTTGGGGTGAGGGAGAAGAAAGGCAGAATTCTTAATAGGGCTCGGAAGTACGGGCAAGGGGTCGACGGGGCTGTGTACAACACCCATGGGTGGCACTATGCCAGGTCAGCCCGGGGTAATGAAAATAGGACAACTACAGCAATTACAACCCAATGTATACTGCCATTTCAACAGCCCGCCAACTGCTGTGGCCGGCAATGCCGGCAGAAAAACTACTAACACAGTGTCTAACAAAGCTAGTGTCAGCTAATTAACAGACGTTCCTTTTTATGCATCGTTCAGCATGCACATCTCACCTGAGGTCATAGTGGCGAAGACGGCATGGCTAACCGCGGACAAGGAGGCAGGGTCCGAGGAGGCCGGCGTCATCTCATTGAAGGTGTCCGTGTTGTAGACGTGGTCCGTGCCAAACTGCTTGACCAGCTGGGACAGGAACATGGAGCCGATCTGATGGAAGAGGGGGTCATGGGGTTCTAGGGTGTAGGAGCAGGAGTAGCTGCAGTTGAAATGGCTCCAGGGAGGCAGTTTGGTCAGGTTGGCTTTCGGAAAGAGCCTGGGAAATAGAACAGAAAAGGACTGAACGATCCAGTAAAACACTGTTGCCGAGCACATTGATCTTAACTGATTCAAAGACCACGAAATGGCTATTTAATTTGTATTCCAACAAAAAATATATAACTGAAGCCAAGGGTTGAGGAAACGGTTTGAAATGGTTTTGAATCAGCAGTCATACCTGGCGATGCCCTGAGGCACAATGCCAGAGAAAGCTGGCAGGACAGGCAGCATTCCGAAGGATCTCATTCGGTCTAAAATCTTGAACTGGAGGGCAGAGGAAACATATAACATACATCATTATTATTGAAAATGTAGGGGGGAAGCCATGTTTGTATGTAGACCAATCAAAATGATAGTACTTGGAGGTAGAGCTGCTTCACGTGCCAGGACTGTGGTAGGGGTCCGCCCCACTGGAACAGGTTCCCCATACGGTTCCAGGCTAGGAAGGCGGGGCCGGTGAAGAAGTGGTCGATTTCAGTCTGGTTCAGCCCCAGCGAGAGGTACATCTAATCCCTCAAAAACAGCTTGATGTCAGAGTTGCCATTTATATAATTTTTTAACACAGGTCTAGAATACAATACAGTTTTACATGGACAAAATCAGGGGTTGGAACCAAAATTATTTTCCAATTGTTCAGTTCCGAACAGAACACCTTTTTTTTTTTTTTTTTGCATTCCAGTGTTCCGACCAGAAAATAAAATCATTCTTTATTTTTTTACACCTGTGTAATCAACAGTTTTTACAAAATAGCTCATTAATTTACTACATGCAATTAGCATGGATAGAGAAGCTTCCTATGAAACACATAAGCTAGTTGTTAACATGTTTAATTGGTCAGTGCAGGTGCAAGAAGTGACTGAAATTCCACGGGTGGGGAGAGAGCGAGAGAAAGGGCTAGACAAGGTTTGGCTTAAAGCAATGAACATCATGACATGGAATATAAACTAGAATGTGTTTATGATACTACTAGCATTAACTTCTTCAAATTACAGAATTATCTACTTGACATGAGGAACATATCTGTAACAAAAAAGTACATTAACCTGTTCTCAACATTTTTTAATAGCAGTTCTGTTCTGGAACACTAGAGATCACTTCCGATCCCGGGTTTTGTTTCTGTTTCTCGAAAAATGTCATTTTTCGGTTCTCTTCCCTGAACCGGTTCCAACCATTGGTTTAAATAAGAAAAAGTCAGCAAATAATTACTTTGCACTTTTACCTGACATTACCCACTGTAGTAGGAAATTAGTTGCAATACACACAGTTTGCTCCACCTCAGAACATACAAACACACAACAAAATACACAGTATGGGATCTTGTTACCTCTTGCCACAAGGCCTCTTGTCCAGTAAATGCCAAAGGCAGATTGATGCCATTCAGCGCCATCCAGTCGATCTCCCTCTGCCATCGTGGCCAGTCCCACCACACCGTGGAGTAGCTCTGAGTGCATACGTTCTGATAGTACCTGAATCTGGAAACAAGAGAAAGACATTACTGGGGAGCTACACTGGGGCATCAGGAAAACAATAGGTGTTTAGCTGCTACACTGGATGCCAGGGTTTTCATTAGGAAAATGTGACGCCGGACAACGTGACCAGGAAGATTTTCAATTTACCAGACATTTGTGAAACCCATTAGGGCGTCCACCCACGGTGCTCAGAATGACAGAATCACATTTAGATTAAAGTAATGCATCTTAAAGGGAAGAATGCAGAATTAGGTTGCAGTTAAACATTCTGTTTGGTTTCATCTTTCCAACTAAAAGTCCCAATATGACATACTATCACTTTACATTTGTATTTTGGGAGAAATTTAAATTTTATCAGAATTTGACCGAAGTCATGTCGGAAAAGTGAAGTCAAGAGAAGAACACACGAGGGAAAACATAGCAGGAGTGAAGCCACTTCTCCAATAAGATGATAAAGACTGCTAATAAGTGTTTCAAGGCTGCTACTGGTTAGCTAGTAGGGGTAAGCCACCATGGGTGTAAAAGTGTATTTCTTATTATAAACTTTTGCATAAATATTCCATAGATGGAATATAATCAATCTACGTTGTTAGATGTGGAAAATATATCGTGCAACCTTTCCTGAAGCAGCCAATAAAACAACATTTTCAAAATGCAATTCACGGGAAAATAAAACGTATAAAGTAGCGCACCTGATGCGAGCGGTTCCATATGTGACAGAGATGAAAACCTCCATTAGAAACTTAGAAAGAGGGGGAATCTAAAGATGCAACAACTAGGATGGGTTGCTAATATGACTAGGATTGTGCCTTTGGCTTCTGGACAATGAAAGAAAGTTGATATGAAACCAATAGAACAGGATATAAATGGCATACGAGGAAGTCTTTCATAGGCGGCGCGTCCAATAGGCTAAGCTTCCCTTAAAGTAAATTGTAATGCATTTGCCAAAATTATATAATTACTCCTGTCTATTCAAAAATCTATAGAATTCATTCAAAATACTTCACCAGAGAGCATGACTTAGCCACAGAGCAATCGAGGATCATTAGCTTCTTTAATAAAATAGCTGTGGATTGTTTCAAATCACAAACTCGTAGGCCTATGCTATTGGGGAAGCCCACAATTTGGGCAGTTCGCGGGGCAAAATATATATAAAAGTGTGAAGTTAATGTGTCATGAGTATAAGTTAAAATGTTGAGCCAAGAAGGAGGAGCGGGGTGTGTAGTGAAGATACAGGCGTCTCTCTCCAGAATGCATGCTCTCAGCTCTCCAGAATGTGCTCAGGCGTCTCCCGCCAATTATTGCGCATTCATTGTTTCATTGTGTGAATTGGTTGCCCTTTGATTGTTTATTTGTATCAATTCCCCACTACATACAGTGCATTCGGAAAGTATTCAGACCGACTTTTTCCACATTTTTTTTGGGGGGGGGGGGGTCGCTGTACAGCTACTTTCAGGGTCTTTGTCCTGTTGGAAGGTGAACCTTCGCCCCAGTTTGAGGTCATGAGCGCTCTGGAGCAGGTTTTCATCAAGGATCTCTCTGTACTTTGCTCCGTTCTGGCCACTCTACCATAAAGGTCTGATTGGTGATGTGCTGCAGAGATGGTTGTCCTTCTGGAAGGTTCTCCCATCTCCAGAGAGGAATTCTGGAGCTCTGTCGGAGTGACCATCGGGTTCTTGGTCACCTCCCTTCCCCAGATCTGTGCCTCGACACAATCCTGTCTCGGAGCTCTACGGACAATTCCTTCGACCTCATGGCTTGGTTTTTGCTCTGACATGCACTGTCAACTGTGGGACCTTCTATAGACAGGTGTGTGGCTTTTCAAATGTCCAATCAAATGAATTTACCACAGGTGGACTCCAATCAAGATGTAGAAACAGCTCAAGGATGATTTTTTAATAAATGAGAAATTAATTCCAAAAACCTGTTTTTGCTTAGTCATTATGGGGTATTGTGTGTAGATTGATAAAATATTATTTAATCAATTTTAGAATAAGGCTGTAATGTAAAAAAATGTGGAAAAAGGGGTCTGAATACTACTCGAATGCACTGTATATGGCACAGCTGTCAATGTTTTGGTCCTTAAATGAAACTGGTATCCTTTTAGTTAGTCTTTAATGCAGGGCCGACAGACAAATTCCTTACTTTCTCCCCCTTCCACTTGCCTCTTCCATTTTTGCGGTAATGCTGCAATTAGTTGGTTGTAATTTGGGGTAGAGCAGACATTTCCATATATTTATGTTAGCTGCATGTGTGACATTACTCCACCATTCGGATTTATGATATCACTTTCAAAGACTATACATTTGTTTTTGTGTGTGAAAAATAACATTTTATCAATTAGTATAGTTGAGTTTAACCACAATATTTGTTTTATTATTTGTTCTGTCTTTTCTGGTAGATTAAACTGAAATTGCAACCAATTTTCTATGGCTTGTTTTCAAAATAGCAATATTTAGGAGATTATTTGATTTTCAAATAACCGAAAGTGAGAGGATGTAATCTGAATAAAGGAAAAAGGACATTCTTGAACATGGGGTGAGACACAGCGAGGGAAAAAAGTATTTGATCCCCTGCTGATTTTGTACATTTGCCCACTGAAAAAGAAATGATCAGTCTATAATTTTAATGGTAGGTTTATTTGAACAGTGAGAGACAGAATAACAACAACAAAATCCAGAAAAACGCATGTCAAAAATGTAATAAATTGATTTGCATTTTAATGAGGGAAGTAAGATTTCTGGCTCCCAGGTGTCTTTTATACAGGTAACGAGCTGAGATTAGGAGCACACTCTTAAAGGGAGTGCTCCTAATCTCAGCTTGTTACCTGTATAAAATAGACCTGTCCACAGAAGCAATCAATCAGATTCCAAACTCTCCACCATGGCCAAGACCAAAGAGCTCTCCAAGGATGTCAGGGACAAGATTGTAGACCTACACAAGGCTGGAATGGGCTACAAGACCATCACCAAGCAGCTTGGTGAGAAGGTGACAACAGTTGGTGCGATTATTCGCAAATGGAAGAAACACAAAATAACTGTCAATCTCCCTCGGCCTGGGGCTCCATGCAAGATCTCACCTGGTGGAGTTGCAATGATCATGAGAACGGTAAGGAATCAGCCCAGATCTACACGGGAGGATCTTGTTAATGATCTCAAGTCAGCTGGGACCATAGTCGCCAAGAAAACAATTGGTAACACACTACGCCGTGAAGGACTGAAATCCTGCAGCGCCCGCAAGGTCCCCCTGCTCAAGAAAGCACATATACAGGCCCGTCTGAAGTTTGCCAATGAACATCTGAATGATTCAGAGGAGAACTGGGTGAATGTGTTGTGGTCAGATGAGACCAAAGTCGAGCTCTTTGGCATCAACTCAACTCGCCGTGTTTGGAGGAGGAGGAATTCTGCCTATGACCCCAAGAACACCATCCCCGCCGTCAAACATGGAGGTGGAAACATTATGCTTTGGGGGTGTTTTTCTGCTAAGGGGACAGGACAACTTCACCACATCAAAGGGACGATGGACGGGGCCATGTACCGTCAAATCTTGGGTGAGAACCTCCTTCCCTCAGCCAGGGCATTGAAAATGGGTCGTGGATGGGTATCCCAGCATGACAATGACCCAAAACACACGGCCAAGGCAACAAAGGAGTGGCTCAAGAAGAAGCACATTAAGGTCCTGGAGTGGCCTAGCCAGTCTCCAGACCTTAATCCCATAGAAAATCTGTGGAGTGAGCTGAAGGTTCGAGTTGCCAAACGTCAGCCTCGAAACCTTAATGACTTGGAGAAGATCTGCAAAGAGGAGTGGGACAGAATCCCTCCTGAGACGTGTGCAAACCTGGTGGCCAACTACAAGAAATGTCTGACCTCTGTGATTGCCAACAAGGGTTTTGCCACCAAGTACTAAGTCATGTTTTGCAGAGGGGTCAAATACTTATTTCCCTCATTAAAATGCAAATCAATTCATAACATTTTTGACATATGTTTTTCTGGATTTTTTTGTTGTTATTCTGTCTCTCACTGTTCAAATAAACCTACCATTAAAATTATAGACTGATCATGTCTTTGTCAGTGGGCAAACGTACAAAATCAGCAGGGGATCAAATACTTTTGTTCCCTTACTGTATTCTTACTAATCTGCTAGAGAACCAGTTTGGATGTAAGTATAACTTTTGTATGACAGACGCCTTTAGTGAGAGGTCTAATGCTTTAATAATTTCTGCCCCTCCGAATTCATATTCATTATATAAATAGGCCTGTTTAATTTTGTCTGGCTTGCCGTTCCAAATAAAATGGAATATATTTTGCTCATATAATAAAATAAAATAAAAAAAACAGGTCGCTAGGTGTAGGCAAGACCATATGCAAATAGGTAAACTGGGATATGACTACAGAGTTCATCAGGGTGATTTTTCCACAAATAGACAGGTATTTTCCTTTCCACGGTAGCATCTATTTTTGCTAACTTTCTATTACAATGTATTGTAGTGAGATCATTTATTTCTTTCGGGAGATGTATACCGAGTATGTCCACATCACCGTCAGACCATTTCATTGGTAAACTACACGGTAATGTATTTTTTAGTGATCCAATAACGTAATATAGTACATTTATCTTCATTTGGTTGTAATCCAGAGAGGTTAGAACATTTATTTAGATCCTCTATAAGGCTGTGGAGGGATCCAAATTGTGGATTTAAAAGAAAACATTAATCATCAGCGTACAATGACACCTTTGTTTTTAAGCCCTGGATTTCTAACCCCTTGATATTATTGTTGGATCTGAGTTGAATAGCTAACATTTCGATGGCCATAATAAATAGATATGCCGATAGTGGACAACCTTGTTTTACTCCACTTGACTGTTTAATACTTTGAGAAGTAGCAATTATTTACTATTTTACACCTCGGGTTACAATACATAACTTTAACCCATTTCATAAGAGATTCTCCAAAATTGAAATATTCCAGGCATTTATATATAAATTTCAGTCGTA